CTTCCTTCCTCTTTCTCTTTTTCTCTTTCTTCTCTTTTTGAAGTCTTTTTTAAATTATTCTTTTCCCCCATTGTTTCAGAAACTACATTCAAGATGGCTTGAGAGCCCTGACTGAGGACTTTGACCAAATGAAGTTGAGAAAGAGATTTTTTTCAACACAGGAGTGAAGAAAATAACTTCAACTACCTGTGCCTATTCACACAAGTCTACCAAACATTATGGAAGTTTGAAGTCTACAGTGTTAAAAGCCATGTTTGCTGTCTGGCATTTCACTGACCACATCCTCATTATCAGCCACTGAAAATCATGCAGAAGGAAAGCCTGCACAAGGTCACTGTCAAGTAAGAATGAACTTCTTGTTTTACAGATAATGTAAGCATTACATTCTGAACCACCTTTGTAGTATGAACCTGATTGAAATTCAAGTGCTATTGCCTGCAATCCATGTTTTAAAGTCACTACTTCTATTGTCATCTATTCTTCATCCTCTTTCAATTAAGACTGTGCTACTAACATGTCATAGCTTTTATTTTTCCCTTTCAGTGAAGTTTAATAAACTTCACCCTTGCTGCTCAGCAAAATTTAGGATTTAATATCCAAAGCCAGATAAGCTTGTATTTTATGTTGAGGTTGTTACTTTTTATAGTTCAGTTTTAACCAAATCTGTAAATCATACATGACATGAATTCAGAATGTTCAGAATGATAGATAACAATGGACACATTCTTAAGGCAAGACATATTTGTTTTAAAGAAAGCTTTTAACATTATGCATCTATAAAAGGAAATGTTTGCTAATAACTATAGGTGTCAAACTTAAAGGTTTGATTGAAAGAGGCCTGACTTACAAGAAGTGAATCCTTGAAAAATGGAGGGATCCAAAATTAGTTGTAAGATTGCACAACCCTGGCAGATGTCAACTGTTGGAAGCTACCTGGGAATCATTTATCACTTTACCCTTTAAGGACACATTAGTGAGCAAATGTTGTAGCACTGTTATGAACACATACAAAAAGTCAGCATTACAAAAATACAGCAGGTAAAAAGATAAGCAATAAAAGAGTCAGAACACAAGGTAAGTACACAGTGCTGAGACTCAGCTGATCACTACATAACCACTGCTCCTCCCTCTGACGTAGTAACCTTCTTTCAAGAGTACTTCTCTGAGGAAACAGAGAACATAGAATTAGCAATCTCTCTTCTTCCATAAAAAGTCAAAGACTTAGTTTAGAATGACCTTTAGTGTGTGTAACATAAGAAAAGTGAATGTTTTCTATTGATTTGTGACTTTTTACGGTGTTCCCAAAAAGATGTGTCTTCCCTGTACATCGCTAAGACCTCTCCCTTTTATGGCTTGTTTGGTGTTTAACAGCTGAATGCAAGCCGACTCCTTAAAAGAGAGAGGATAATGGAGACTCTCCACCTTCTTCCTTGTCTGCTGTTCTCAAAAAACTAGGGAAGTAGTCTTCATTCTGATATTTTCACTCCTCTATCAAAAATTTGCATTGAAACTGAACTAATGTTACTTGTGGAAGAGAGAAAAGAGGTAGCTGTACACACAAGACAGAGCATGATCTCATAAATCTCTGCCTGAGGAGCATGTATCACCATGAGATATTTTGGGAGGACACTGCTTCCAAATACCCGGCACTACTTCAGCACTTCTGTACATTCTAATAGCATTGTTATCAATGGGAAAAATACAAATCTCTGCTAATACTATATAAATGTGAAATGAGAGAGAAAAAGAACTTGGCTCCCTATTAGAGTTCCTAAAAAATGAGACTTTCAAAACTGAAAGTTCAATTGCAATTTGTTTATGAAAGAGGCAGAACTGCCTTAAAGGAGTCTGGAAAAGGCAATCTATTCAAATAGAGAAATAAGGGTCATTTGTCTTAATTTACCGCAGCAGAAGATTGCATTATCTCGCTGATCCACAGTTCATGAAAATCAGTGAAGTCCATAAGAAACTAATGCAGAGATTAATGTCTCCTAATGTCTACGGGCTGAGGGAGTTGAGGCTGCTCAGCCTGAGAAGTCTCTCCCTGTCCCACAATATTGCAGTTGGAGGTTTGTCAGCGGCTTGAGGAGGGCAGGAGTGAGTCTTTAGCTGCAGGGCACAAATACCTTCGATAGCTCTGTACAAATCACGGCACTTTTCAGCCTGTAAACTGACAGGAATACCAGCTATCTCCTAGCTATCTTCAAAAACTCACCCGTTGGGGTCAGCTCCTCCAGCCTGACACCGAGGCAAGCAGGATCACACACACAGGCTCAAAACACATCACAAAGCCAGTGAGACCCTAGCCTGGCAATAGTTTAAGCACACAATTTTATTGCAATTTCAAGTGGCCTTGATTTTATTAATTTGTTCTTGGGCATATTTTTCACATAGAGTTGCTTTTGTTGGCTTGGAGGGGTTTTTGTTGTTTTTATTTTTTAGCTACCTATTAATACTAATATTAAGAGATTTACTTCTGTAGAGGTGCTTTGTAATGACAGAGTGTGTTTTATTTACTATTCTGGTTAAGCCTATTTGCTTTTTTCATGCATACACTGTACAGAACTATGCTAATTTTGAAAGATTTCTTTTTAATCTTCTCTCATATAATTAGACTTCAAAGGCCAGTACTTTATCCTGAAACGGAAGATGCTTTGGCTCTGAAAAAGAGAAGAATTAGTACCTGAAAGCCCACCATTCACACATTCTGTAGTGTTCTCCCTGCAATGTGTTATACTTTCCTCAAACTGACAATCTATCACTACAGCTCAGTCATATTCACCACAGTAGATGAAACAGCAGTGTATTCATTCAGGGAAAGCAGGATTTGGTTTATGTATGAAAACTTGTGTTTCTGCTTCATTTGCCAGGTTGCATTTTTTCCACTATGAACAGCCATTTAGAAATGTTGTCCTTTGCGTTCTGCATGCCTTGGTTTCATCAGAGTTGGACAACATTACAGCCTCAATTTGCACATCACAATTAAGCTGATGTAATGTATGTGAAACTGAGCAGAACAAAAAATTACTTGTTCAAATTAAATACTTCAGGTGCATCTATTGAACTTGCCAGTTGAAGAACTGAATTAAGCAGTCGGTATTTGCAAGAGCGGTCCTATCCTCTCAAATGTAAATCACTGCCTAAGGAGAAATCCTGCAACTGAAGGCAGCTGGCACAGAAACAGCAAGATACCAGCAGGTAGCAACTGGTGCTCCAGGTCCTGTTCAGCAGCAAGCAGAGGATCATATGCTGAAGGCTGCAATTATTACTGCAGAAAAATGTGACAATTTTCTTAAGCAGAAATGTCCTTAAATACTCATATTCAGGCACACTTAACTATTGCTTTTTGCAATTGCTTAACTATCTGGGTTCTCCTGCCCTACTCCCCGGAACGACCTGCCTTTGCCAAAGTCAGAGGTAACTCTCTCATCAACTTCAACCGAGGCAGGACATGGCACCACAGGGATCAGACAGCATAAAGCACAATTTACTTGTAGCACCAAAAAGATAATTTTTGTCACTTTCAAGTGCACTGTACATTTTAAAGAACCACAATGCTTCATCTGAAGCATGAACAACTTGTTGCTTTGTTGTACTTTATTGAGTAAAACTCCTCACGCAGCACTGCAAGAAATTAAGAGTTATGGTGACGGAGAAAGCAGCAGAGCACGGGGGCTTCTTAGCATTCTGTAGCAAGGAAATCTGTCAGGGACACCCCAGTGATTGCCAGAACACCCCTCCCCACTCACCCCACACAATCCCTGTTTTGACCTCTCTGTGATATTGAACATATGTTATCAGCCCTCAGACATCCCTCAGATACAAAACCTGCCCTCTCCCTTTGTGGCACAAACTCACCCCTGCTCCTTTTTTCCCTAACATTGCCAAGTCCCACCACATGCCCAGAAATGGCCCTATGGCTCATGGACACCTTTTCCACCACTGTGTCACTCCCATCCTTTTACACTTGCCCCACCTTGGCGTAGCAGAAGGAGATGAGCAGCAGCGGGAGCAGATACCCGAAGACGAACGTGCAGATCACGTAGACCTTCTTGTGGCGTGGGTTGGGCCAGAACTCCCAGCAGAAGGTCTGGTTGCTGGTCTCGCGGTGGAAGATGCGCTGGTGGTGAGCCACAGGCGAGGCCATGGCGAAGGAGAGCGCCCAGATGAGCCCCACGCCCAGCATCGCGTTCCGGGGGACGCGCAAGGCTGAGGAGCGTCGGGAGTGCACGATAGCCACGTACCGGTCCACAGACATGGCTGAGAGCGTGAAGATGCTCACCAGCATGGAGATGGTGAAGAAGTAGTGGATGAACTTGCAGATGAAGGCTCCCAACACCCAGGTGGGGAGCACGTAGACCGTGGACTGGAAGGGGATGCAGAAGAGCAGGTAGGCCAGGTCGGCGATGCTCAGGTTGAGGATGAAGATGTTGGTGGTGCTTCGGCGCTTGCCTGGCTTGCTCCTCGCCAGCACCGTGATCACCAGCGTGTTGCCCAGCACTCCCAGGGTGAAGATTAAACCGAAGACGATCAAGGTGATGAAGTTCTCGATGCCGATGCCGAAGAGCGGCTTCCCCTCCGCCTCCGGCAGCCCGGACAGGTTGAACTCCCCCCGGGGCGTCTCTGCCGCGGCTCGGGACAGGTTGAGGGGCGCCGCCGCGGCCTCTCCAGGCTCCATCCTTCCCTGGCGCGCCGGGCAAACTTCCCGGCACCGGGGACCGCGGCGATCCCGGGGCGGCCGCCCCACCAGCGCCGGGCGGCGGGCAGGGAAGGGAAGGGAAGGGCGGAGGCGCCGCCGCGCTGGGCGCAGCCTGCGCTGCCGGGAGCGGAGCCGGCGCGGCCGCCCCGCCGCCCTCCGCAGCCGCGCTCCGCCCGCCCCGGCACCGGCACCAGCACCGGGCCCGCCCCGTCCGCGGCGCCTCCGCGCCTCTGCGCTGCTCCGGGAGACTGAGCTCCCCGGGAACGTGTCCTCGCAGAAAGGGGAGGTGGGGTTTTCTTGCTCTCTTTATTTCCCCCCGCCTTTTCTTCCCACCCTTCAGCCTGTAGGTGTTCCCCCACCCAGGGCGGCAGCCGGAATCCCGGTCTTCTCCCCGGAAAACTTCTCTCCGCTCGGTGCCGCCGCTCCCAGGGAGGCTCGGGAGCCGTGTCTCCCAGCAGGGCTAGGCGGCGCTCGGCTGGTCCGGCCGGGCATCAATGAACTCGCTTGGACAGACAGAAACGATGAAGCGCACGTGTGAACCCACCTCAACAGGTAGCCGGCAACAGGAGTTTCTCCAGACTAAGCGCCGCCTGCGCTCGCTCCTCTCACCTCCTTCACAGGTTTCCTCCATCAATCACTGAGTATCTCAAATGACAAAAGGCGGCAGACATAGTTACGCCTTCCTATTAAAAACCCAAAACAACAAACCAAAACCCACACACATGCACATGAAGCAAAAGAATTGTAGTGGGAAATCTAGCCGCTTTTCGCTGCCAAATCACGGCGTTCAGGATCTCCGCCGCGGCAGGAGCGCAGCCGTGCTGGGCGCCCGCAGGCTCTCGGAGCCGGGCAGCCGCGGGCAGCGCTACGCGGGAGCTCCTGGAAAGGCAATCCCTGCAGAACGGGGTTAAACATGAAACTTCCTCCAGCGCACGGATGCGAGTTCATGAGAATATTGTCACCGGCACACACACCTTGTGAATGAAACGGATTTGCCTGAGGTTCTACATCCATTTGTTTCCAAATTACCAGTCAGTGAGCTACAGCTGGCAGCAGCAGTGACCAACAGAGCTGCCCAGATGTGCTGCTGCAGGTAGCGAGCTTTTGTTTGCATATTTTCCAGTCTGCAGTTTGACAGGGTTTTTTTTCTACCTTTCTTTTTGCTACTTGTTTTGAAGCATCCCAGCAGCTGCCCATCAGCTGACTGCAAAGCCATCGGCTTCTGCAGATCTAGATTTTAATTAAACTAATGTATGGTCTGCTCCATTACGTCTGAAGGAACACATCATGGGAGAGCACAATTCAGTTTATATAGATCTAAGAAATTTCTATTTGGATTGAGCTGGTTTCTACATCTGTTGTAACTAATCTAAGTATTTATAAACATATCAAGCAAAAATAAGCTAGTAGGGATTCCTCAAAGACTTGGGTTTGGAATTTTTTGTAATGTGCATTCTTTACAATTTTGTTGACATGTTTGATTACCATGCAAATCTACTATTGTCTACTTCTGCAAAGGATGTGAGAAAACACTGTTAAACATTTCTAGGATACATCAGATATCACACACTTTTTGGAAAGTCTCTGAATATATTGTGAAAATGAACAGAAGTCTGTAGATTTTCCTAGTGTTGGTGATGCCTGTGTTTGCCTATGAATTCCTTCATGTGGTGAAGGAGATACAAGAAATGCTTTGAATACGACTGATGGTTTGCTTTTGAATCATGTCATGTTGCCAGACACTGCTCATTTTCCAGGATATCTGGAGTGCAGCCCTGGTTTTGATGAAGCTAATGCAATCCTGCATTTGATATGCTCCTGGTCCTCATCACTAACACTTCTGTTTTCTCACAAAATAATATGTTTTGTACAGAATAGCCTGAAAGGTTAGAACAAAGGATATTACACTTAGCAGAAAAGTGAGCAGGAAAAGTGGGTATAGAAACAAAATCAATTTTAGCGGGAATCAAACTGAAAATCACATTAGTGATTTGGATGGCAGAGTTGGCTATTGGTTTCCTTTGGATATTTAATTGAGAGTTCTGTGGTTCAAGCTTTGATTTTCTGCTAAGAGTATAAAGTTCCTATACAGTTCCTATAAGGCTACCCTGAGCATTAGGGGGGAATAACCTCAAGAATACAACTGTATTGTAGCTTTTCTCTCAGACCAATTGAGATGGAAAAGCTGGTATGAATTCAGTACAATAAATATATAGTTATATATTTATAACTATATATAAACCCATGAAGAAGTTGAAAAACTATGAGGAAAAAAAAGTAGTAAAAATATTGCATTGCACTTTAAGAAAATAAATTTCATGTCTTTGCAAAAGAGATCTCTTCAGCATATGCCTCACACATTTCCTTGAATCTAGTGTTATTGAATTTATTTTATTGTTTTCCTGAACACTATTTGATGTGAAAAGATATACTTAAACTAAAATAGCCTAGGAACTTCAGAAAGAGCAAGAAACTGCATACAGTGTTCTTCTGTCTGTAGCTAGAATCCACAATCATCTTTATCAGAGAACTCGCCTCCAAAAATTTGTTTGGCTCCAAAATTTTTCATTGCAATCAATGGAGAAAATACTAGAAATATCTAAAAGGGATGGGAACCTACTTACCCTGCTAAGTCTAGTCTTTCATATTTATTCCTCAGTAAGTTAATCCAGAAGATATTACTGTAAAAACATGCAAGGATGTCCTTCTTTTTGCTCATTCCAATGGCTGGTTATGTTATTTTTATGTTGTTCCAATAATAAAAATATTTGACTTACACTGCTAAAATTTTATCTCAGGAATGAGGATTCCAATGCATTGATTTAAAAACGTAATTACTACTAAGCTCTTTGTTCCTATTTAATGCATGTATATAGGTATATTAACATAGACTGAATATAATGTCAGTAAAATGCATTTATATTTTAAAATGAACATTTTATTAGCACCTCAGAAACAATTAAAAAATGCACTTTTTAGCTACTGTCCCACTTTTGATGACATTGAATAACTGAGGCACAAAAACCAGCATCTGATTATACAAATACGTACATAGATGTCTGTATGCATTTTATCATTTCACAAGAATAAAATAATAAGATACACAACTTCTTCAGAGAAGAGTTTTAGTAAAATCCTCTATAAATTCTATTGGAGCCTTTTGGGAGTGTTTTCAGGCTTTTTTCCATAGTGAAGTTGAAGCTGGAGTTGAGGTTCAAGGCTCTCAACTGCACAACAGTGTCAGTAAAGAGAAACCATTTAAAGTGTATTTATACTAAAGCATATGAGTAACCCGGACTTATAGAAATTTTTGACAGCTCAGTCCTTAGCTCATTGTTCACTTTTCTTTGCTGCAAAAAAGATTTTCCAGATTTGGTCATGTTTTGTTTATAAAACACAAGACTGAAAACAGGTCTGTTTTGAAGGCTGACTCTTTTAATTTATTCGTGAAACAAGATCAGATGCAACAGTCATGTCCATCATACCCCGTTATTTTCCTTTGTGACAAGTTCCCGGAGTAGAAATTTGCCTTTTAAAGGTGGATGTGAACTTCAATTCAAAATTCAAAATAAAAAATCCATGATTCATAACCAACCTTTGATTCACCTTCTATAAAGTTAGTATGTAGAAGTCAAGCATCTATATTATTGATTCCCCTTTTATATATATTCTTGGGAATAATGTAACCCTCAAGTCACAGTTGTCACTACATTCAGATTTCCATAGTGGAGAAGTGTCACCAATAAATTGAAGTTTATTACTTCTTGCTGCCATTTAAAAAGAAGTAAGCATCTGCCCATATACATTTGAGAGCCATCATCATTACATCCCTGAGTCTGTGCTGATTTTTTGTCCTCCCAGTTCTCCAGTTCTTAAAAATCAGTTCCAAAAAAATGTTAAAATGCAGGCAATCAAAAATAAATTTGGAGCTAAGTTTCCAAAATCCCATTCTATATTTAGTGCTTTCAAGTAATAGGTTTTAGGCTTAAAAATTGTATGTAAAAACACGTATCCATTCTTTATTCAACACCCAGAAATTTTCTGTGTAAAAAATGCCAAAAGCTAAACACCACGGTCTAACAACTTGAACTTGCTTTATAGTTGAAGAGAGTTGCTTGTTTCATTTTCCTTGATTTGTGACAATTACCCCATGGGATGCTTTTTAATGTTGGCTGCAGAAGCCACTCGTCTGTGCATGGAAACACAGTTGTGTTTTGTCTAAAACAGAACCAAGTGTATTTTGGTGAACACTTGTAATACAACATAACACAATAGACCAGGTCTTACTAAACTCAGGAGAATGCAGCAGGTATCCAGGTCATGGGCACAGCAGCTGCAGAAGTCTTTTAAATGGAAAATTGCTCCACCTTCAAACTGCTTTGTAAAATGTGCAACTGACTGGAGTGAGGTCATAGGGCTTATGAAAGGCTTAAGATCTGTAAAAGGAGAATCATGTTTCTATATAGGAAAAGCAGAAATGTGGGCTCAAGGAGCTACCTTAGCCATGTTGTTGGCAAACATCAAAATTATCAGGGCTGAAAGAGGCGGCAGTAGAATGAAGTAACTTGGACAGCGTGATTGTGCTGCTGGCAAAGCAGCCAGGAGTTTGCAGGATGCTTTGTCTGGGGTCAGCTCCAGGCACAGGCAGAGACAGGGAACATCTGATGTCAGGGAAAAGGCCAGGACCTCACTGTCCAGCCCTGGAGACCTTGGTCACCAGGGCATTTCTGTGGCAAAGGGAAATAACAGGTGGGCAGTGCACAGTGGACAGAGGCAATGGACACCTTTCCCAGCACTTACTGCTGCCTCTACACTCTCCTCCATCCTGGCAGCAGCAGTATCAGCAGCCTTGGCTCCTTCAGGCTCTCCACAGCACTCAAAAAGGGCTTGTGTGTCAGCAGCACCCCGGACTTGGCTTGATACCAGTCTTCCTCATCCGAGAGAAGCAAAATGTGATTTATGCACCTTGCCAAGGAGCATGGAGATGGCTCTAAATACAGCTATAAAGGAAAAAAATGTGAGTGGATTGCCAGTTTCCTGGAGACAACAATGTCCAAAAAAGCATGCAAATCCTAATTTTGATTGTTCTTGGAATATTGAC